CAGGCCACGCCCCTTCCGCTTTTTTCATCACTCGCCATTGCCATGTATGCTTAAAGCATCTCTGTCCGAGAACATTTTTCGACATACCTGTACCCGCAAAAATGTTCGTATGTACCGTTGTTCGTAACACGAATGTTCGTAAATCGGGGAGCGCCTGTACCTGTATCTGAAGAATTACTTAATGGAGTCTTTCTGGGTCCTCAAGGACACTGGACAAAGCATAAATAACAAAATAAACAATGCATTAAATGCCTGTGAAAAGATAAATTAAAATTAGCAATAGGATGAAGTGAGCAAAGCTAAGCTACAATAAACGGATGAGGTTAAATGGAATAAACTTTTCTCAATAGTAGGTATTGGGTCTGCATCTGTAAAGAGTAATTCACATTGCTTACATTAGGTGGTAAGGGTTCCATCGGCGGTGGCAGATCAGCCGAGAGCTCTGTCCCCCATGTTCGGCTTTCAATAGTTTCCCCCCGCTAATCAGCTCTACTCATTTTTTCTTCTCCAAAGGAAGTGATGGCTGGCGCCTTTATGAGTACATCACAAGACATTTCATTGCCACAGTCAGCCAGGACTGCAAGTATTTGCAGACAACCATTGTTTTCAGCATTGGAACTGAAGCTTTCACCTGTAGTGGAAAAACCCTGATCTCACCAGGTAACTGATTCAACACAGACAATTGTTTTCACCAATGACAGCTGGACTCTCAAACACTTGGCATTTGGGTCTCTTAGTTTGAAAAACCTACCGCAAACACAAAAATGGTTTTATCCCCAGGTTACACAGCTTTGATGCCATGGCAGGGCATCCCTCTTGAAGAAGCCCTGCCTGTCTGTGAAAGTGGAGACATTTTTACAGTAGATGAGATCAAGTTGGTAGAAAAGCAGACGAGTCCTCCAGACTACTTGACCGAGGCTGAACTCATCACTCTTATGGAGAAACACGGCATCGGTACTTCTCAGAACTACCTGTGTGCTATAAATGTTGTTTTCATTCATTTGTGTGACGTTGGCTCTAACAAATAGTAACATAAGCTTTGTTGACGTTGCTAATAATTAAAATTTGTTGCAGAAGCATGACAATAATCTAGTCGCAAAAAGACAACAAATATTACCACAGCGATACTTATTTGACAATCTACTGAACTGTGGAGCATGCAGGTGGCTGCCTTCCACCGTTTTAACTCCTAAAATGCGGACAAGTTTACTTTAAAGTTTTTTTACCTTAACCATAATCCCGTATTGCATTGTTGCCAACGGTACAATCCTGGTGGTTTAAAGTGCATCCTAAATCATTGCGTAAACCAGGGGTGTCAAACTCATTTCACATGGTGGGCCACATACGGCCTGGGTAGATGTCAAGTGGGCCGGACCATTAAAATGATACCATACTTTGCTATAAATAATCAAAACAATATGTCTTTCCTTTGTTTTGGTATAAAGAAGCACAAGAACATTAGGAAAATGTTGAAATTAAATGAACATCTTTTACAAAACATTTCGTGAAGCACCTTACATGTCCTTCGACAAATGTGCAATTTACTTTTATCATTCACATATATGCATTGCAACTGATCCCACTGATTGTACAAACTTTAACAAGTAATTGGTTTTGAAAAATATAGTAATGCACTTTAAGATTAAACGAGATTTATAAAGAAAGGAAGTTTTAAACCATTTACACGTGCATATAAAATCTAAATGTAATCCCTGCCTACACCTTACAAACTAAGGAGCGTGCTATTAAAAGTGTAAATGTGAGAGTGCTATTGATAGCGTCTGCTGTCATGGGTCTGTCTCAGTGATGGACTGAGGCTGCTGTTGTCTTCTTCTCTGATCAAAATA